TTGGAAGGCAGTGTGAGAGGATAAAGACGGCGAGTACGCCATTTGTTTCTCACTCCGGCTGGCCAGGAGAGGTGGCGGGTTTGTGTCTAGCGGGAGGGAGTTGGTTTGTTCTACAACGGATAAGATAGACTGATGGAATCCATCACTCTTGATTTGTGTGTAGGGTCCATCCTCTTTTTTGGCGCAACGATTAAAACAGTTGACGATTAAAACATATTAAGATTTATTTAATACAATATTTATAATTAACAAGTGGTTGACTTGCACTACGTGCAGTTTTTCAATCATTCTCTTGGGCTGTTATCACTATCATTTGTGTTATATTTATACTTTAAAACCTCTTTAATATATTTAGTTATAAAAGGTTAATATCACTTATATTCAAAGTTTATATTACTTTTTTTGTCATATTTTACCATAAAAAAATAATTCTTATTTGTATTTTGATTTTATGTATTCATAGGGTTTTTACTTTAAAATATAAAGTATTATATTAGCGATGTGTTATTATTCTCTTTCTTTTTATGATACATATAATTTCATTTTTATAGGTTGGACAATAAAGAGACAAACATTTTGTTAACCATATTTTAAGAACAAACTTTTCTTAATTATTTTAATGACATTTATATAATAAGTATATTAACATTTAAAAGAATTGTCTTTGATTTTGACTCCCGAGAATATAGGAAAATCTATAGTACTTTCCCGTAAAATTTTCCTTTTAATTTTTAACACAAAGCAGACAGTGCATTAGGTTTATTTTTAGTCCAACAAAGATGCTAAGAACTTTCTACATTCAAAAACCAAAAATAAAAAATAAAAAACAAAGAAGTTGCCCTTGATCCAACCAAAGGAGAGTAGCATGTGAGCATGCGGTAGTTGCCCTTGTTTGGAATTCGAAGTTTCCTGCGACAGAAAGTGTTGTTTGCAAAAAGTAAGCATGTATGCATCATCATCAGTTGTGACATTATCATGTGTAAACTATTTTCTTTTAGGTAATTAAAATGGTTCTATAGTGAGAGTTAAAATGTAAAAATAGTATTAAAAAAAGTATTGATGCCTATGTGTATGACTCTAAGTAGCAACACATTTTTATGCAAGTAATGGGAAAACTCTTATAATTATTGTAGTTAAAACAAAATGAACATAAAACTATAGAAGCATGTACTAATATTATAGAATGTTAATACTTTGACTTAATATGAAATTACTTGATACTAAAAATGAGATCAAGGATACTTGAAAAAGTTGAACTTTTGTTTATTGGGCCTCTTCCCAAAAGTATCATCAACACCATCAGCACCACCTCCACCATCTGCCTTCCCTCTTTTTTCAATTACTTTGTTCCATTTGTTAAATTCATTTTTCTTTCCATCAAGTGGACTATCCAATAACATCCTAGCCTTTTTATATAACTATTCTCATGGAAAACTATGTTGATTAGGTACACATATGCTAGATGTCTAGACCTTTACCCTACTATTTCACACTAATTCTTATGTTTGTATTTAAAATCATTCTTCCCAAATGGAATATTCCTCAGTGTTCAAATATATAGCTTCTATAATTTTTTTAGAGCTCCCTTGTAGTTAATCTCTATGTAGTACATGTAAACATAAGCAAGTTTTAGTCATTGAACTCTTCTAACTGAATGTATTTATTATACTCTATTTAGAACACTTGGAGATGTCGTAGACTCATTACCTTGTCATCTGTGTCTATGTTGTATTTTCTTGCTCTGGCTATTCTTTCTTTTGAGAACTTAGAAATTTGCTTTGCCTCTGATTAGAACAGTCTGTCGTGTCTTTCCTACAACATAGGTAAATCATTACTATTTACAGGAATGGCATTATGAGAACTCGGTAATATTTGCATCATGTTAGCATTCTTTATTTACCATTCAAGTGCTTTTAACTAATCTATTTATATATTTAATTAAAAATGTGCCCCTACTTGCAGAAGAAAATAAACATCAAATTAGATAAGTTTCTTTTAATCAATTAATTAGATACAAAATTTATATATTTTACCCACCAAACAATTAAAGAAAAGATTTCATCGAAACACTGAAAACTATATAGGTAATGAGATCCTTGAATGTTATGGCAGTGATAAACTATCTGCAATAAACACATGACCTTATTAGAAGTTCAAATTTCCTTTTATTGCCTAATATAGTAGGAGCCATGTAATTGTCCAATATTAGCTTCCTGCTTGCAAAATAGCCGTAAGAGGCAAGAGTAGTCACTGCACAATCAATTAACAGTAAATAGTTTGACATAGGAAACTTCAAAACATTTGGTGTCATTATGCCATATCATTATTCCCCTTTTTTCGCCATGCCATATCATCATTCTAATCTCACCTATTATAATACCATTTCCATATTCCAGTTAAAAAAAAAAAAAAAGATTTACATTTGTAATTACTCATAGAATGCTAAGACATTTATATGATACTTTGTGGAGAAAGCAACCAGTTAGCAAACCATAGCATTACCTTGCCTTTAACCACAGTTAAATTAACACCATTTTACCTCAAGTTTAACACCACCTAATCTATCTTTCAGAAGTGGCATTTGTTTCATTATTTTCATTTAAAAATTTATAGTAGCTAGGTCCTATGCATAGTTTTTCTTAAAGATTCTAGTATATCTCTAAAGCGTTTTTTTATTTTGAACAACATAGTGCATCTTTAAGCTACTTCAACTACACACAACCACTACCCAAATCACTCAACTCATGGTGGAGAATGGAAATTAGGAACCCCCAGACCGAAAAATATTTTTGGAACTCTAGACCCAAAATGTTTTACCTCTATGCTTTCTCCCCCTTGGATCTTTCTCTCTGTTTCTAACATGCCAAGACCTTCTTAGCTCTTTCTTTGTTTCTTACATCTCAAAGGATGTATCTTACTGGTTTCTTTAAGCTTCTTAAGGTTTTCTTCCTCTACCTTCTAAACCTCACCCACAACCAGTTCTTTCTCAAAGGTAGCATCCCTGCACTTTTAACAAAAGTTGTAAAAATTTAAATAACTCTATGCAGTCAACAATGAAAGCTTAACAATAAATTTCTAGTTCAAACTGCAAGTTGTACTTAATAAGTTGGGCAAAGTTACAAATAATAGACTACAAAGAAATTCAGTAAGAACCCTAAAGACAAAGCCAAAAAAAAAGAACCAATCCTCCAACATAATCTAAATGCACCATAGAGTGAAACCTTAGTATATGGCCACTATTATCAATATGCATTTAAGATTATAACCTTTTTACGTTAACCTAACAGAAGATTAGCTAGTTCTTGCTGATTTTCATAAGCAATTAACACTCTCCAGATTGAAGGCATTCTCTGTATATGACTTCAAATTATTATGGGTCAGCATCAGTAACTTGTCACCATAATTTTGTACCACATAATTTAAAGAATTACATTAAATTGCTAATGCTCACCTTAATGAGGTCTTGATGGCAGCTGTGATGAATTGCCATCTAGGCCCATCAGCTTTAATCACTACTGTGTTCTTATAAAACACCTTCAGCTATCCTGCACTGAAGTAAATTGAGCTTTAATTTTTTTGGTTAAAGATATTATACTTACACATGGACTTGAAACTATTTGACTTCTGCTTACCTAACTTCAGAAGTTCCAATATTTTGTATTCTTAACTGAAGCATAATCAACCACAACTGTTAGTAAAAACATTCAGCAAAGAATTAAGAGGTGGTGGAGAGAAATAAATAGAGAGTTTACACCTAGATTGTGCTGGTTAAAAATATCCAAATCTTCCTTTAAAGTCAGGTAGCCATAGAGTTGGCACTTCCCACCTGGATACAATGGAACTCAAGAACAATCCCCAAGAAACTCTTTCCTTTTGTTTGTTTTCCTAATCCCAGGCATCTCTATCTTTTCTTTGCTCTTTTAAAAGCTTATGGAAACGTACAGCCTCTAAATAACCTACTACTGAACTTTCAAAGATAAAAAACTCATACCCCAGTGCCCTTTTGGGCCATATGAAGTGTGCAACATAGGAGTGTTCAAGCAGTTCTTGACTCCCCATGCCTATTGACTACAGAAAATAATATTCTGTATGATACAATGAACTATATGTCAAGTCAAGAATTATTCCACTCAATAATCAAAAGTCAATAAATAGAAATCAATATTCTATGGATAGGCTAATTTGTGATATTAAGTAAGCATGAGAGAATGAAAGTTCCTTGCTATTTTCATCATATTCATATCTTGTATTTGTTATGATAACCATTGGAGGCCAAACCATTGCATAATCTTTAACTCTTTCAGTTAGCCCTTCCACTTGGTTGTCTTGCAGTCCTCATGGGTTGCATTTGAATTATGATCATACTCATTGAGATCAGTAGTTTGAATTGGCAAAGCATTACCAATAGCCAGCCCTAATCCACATTTTCCTTTCACCCCCAATATCAATGGCACCATATAAAACTTTTCTCCCATATGCATTTTTACCAAAATGAGCGATAATGGATACAGAAACATTCGTACTGTCCATGTCAGTCTGAATATAAAACAAAGAATTAAAAGAGATTAGATATATACTTTCTAAGAAATAAAAACATGAATAAAGTATTAAGTTCTATCACTTCATGAACTTTAGTTGGTACAATCTTCCAAATGCTATCTTTACGGATTTTATTGTATTTGTAAAAAGAAATATACAAATCAAGATGATCTCGTTCGTCACATATTCATAAAACTGATACAAAAGAAAAATGATCAAAACCCAGAACACATGAATACAGGTATTTGTTAGAAAGCAGTTGCTCTTGCTCAACATAACATCAACAAAGAATCTTAATCCCAAACTTTTAGATGGGATTTCAATTTGCTCAATATGACTTTGGCAAGGATTCCTCAAATTCTAATGCTAATCGTAAACTAAATGTGAAAGATTAAACCCAAATTAAATCTTTCTATAAACCTCAGAAAGAAAGAAAGAACCTTTAACTTATCTTTACACAAAACCTCTTGAAAAGTAGATCCTCAATTAAAAATTTTTGAAAATGATAAAAACAATTGAACCACAAAACAAAGCATTACCTAATTTCCTCAAAGCAGAAGCCAATTCCCGCAGGGTAAAATTTGCGACAGCAGCAGTTGTCAGAGGAATACCGTTACAGATTATCTCTACAAAACTAATAGCAATAGTCTTGATGAACAGACATTGCTTACGCATTCTTTTTGTGCGTTTGCTTTTCTCTGCAAATACTAATGTTAGTTGGGATTCTTTAACCTGTCTGTTTGGAGAGTTTGAGTGCTTTCAAGTGTCAACTCTTTCTTTGCCTCTTTCATCTCCATTTTCTTTCTTTCTTTCTCTCAACCCTTTTTAAACCAAAGAGAATCCAACCGATATATATTATAAGAAAAACAGGGGAGGGGAAGAAAAGGAATATACCTCCATTTGCCTAGAAAAACTATAGTAAACAGACATAATGGCCAAGGAAGTGATGCCGAAACTAGACATCACGGCGGCGAGTAGGTATGTTGTCCTCTCGGATCTCTTTGGGCTAGCTTCTCCGCTACATGTGTGGGTATTTAGATCTGGGTATCCTTAATATCATCTGATCCCACCTCCTCTGTGATGGTTTCATTCGGGGATCCTGTTTCTTTTACTCCAACATGAAACAAACTGTGAATTTGGATTTCTTCTGAGTTCTGACCATCTAATGGCAATGAAGTGAAGGGGAAAATAGTGGTGCGAGGTTGAAGATGTGGAGTGAGGAGTGGAACGAACGGAAGGGTTTGGCTGTTAGGCTAGAAAAT